CAAGCGTTAAACCGTAAACTTCGACGTTCTGCGACGTGCATTTTAAACGGCAACATCGCTTTTATACATAAACACTTTCTATCTCTATCATCGTTTTAATTCGAAAATCTCATTACAAATATAAATTTCAAATCTCATTTTATCACTTACCCGAACAAAAGGACGCTTTGGTAAATCATCCAAGCCATCGACGATGTCGTTAGCACTTTCTTCACCCATTTCGCTATCACTATTTTCCCACTGATTAGTCACAAGAAGGAATTATTTAGCAATAAAAACATGTGTATATAAAGACCACTAAAAAATTAAAATTAACTTCGTAATCAATAAAATTACCACAAAGTCAAAACCACAAATAATTAATTAATAATGTTATATTAGCAAATTAATAATCTTTTTTTAACTTTTTGTTATGTTTTGAATTTTTGTGCAGGTCTCGGTCGACCTACATTCAGTGTCAAGCGCGGAAACCAACTGTGGAAAACAATACCTGGTGGTCGGACCTGGTGTTGTATCTACACTCCCGCGGTGACCTACCTATTCTATTGTGCAAGATGACTGTGCGCAACACATGCACGCTCAATTGTATAAACAAATAGGAGTAATACCTTAGTAATAATGTAACAAACCCGGGTAATAAAACATTCTAGCGGTTTCACAGATAATTCGTTGTTTTTGAAAGGGGGTAATAGTTTTGATATGTATTGAGAATTATAAATAACAGTGACTAATTTGCATCTAAATATGAATCATTACGACTTTGTCGAATACGTTGTGAAAATGGATCAGGTGATAAGATAAAAAAAAGGAGAAGCTGTGATGGTGAAAGGGATAGTTAAACGTAAAATATTTCAAGAATTATGTCTGATTAACAAAAAGTTTAAAAATTTTAAATCTAATATAATTTTATTCTTGGAGAAGGATGCAAGTATTGGCGTATGCCGACGACTTAGTAGTGATCGCGAAGAAGGTGGGTGCATGAGATGAAGACAATGATACGATCTCTGGTAGGCTATTTTAGGGGGAAAGATTTGGAGGTGAACGTAGACAAAACGAAGATAATGAAGTTTTGTAAGGGGGGTAGAAGGAAGACTTTGGATTGGAGATGATAGGGTAAGGTGATCGAGGAAGTGGGGGAGTACACATATTAGAATGATAGCAGTGAAAGCGAATGAGATTAGGAAACAGGTCTGGGGATGGAGGGAGAGGTTATTTGGGAGGCATGTGAGCAAAAGGAGGATAATGTTTGATAAAAAGCGTTATGATGTAGAGTTGTAGAGGGTGGAAGTATGGGGATGGAAGGAGCAAGTGTGTTGAGGTTGGCTAGACAGACGTCGGGGTATTTAGTTAGAGAAGAAATGAAGAGCGGTTTTGAGGAGGGGGTGGAAGGAAGAGCGCATTGTAAAATCCTAAGGGAGTGCCGCAGAGAGATTGAGGCAGGAAAGGGTCGTTATGGGAATCGAGAAAACGTGGGGTACTCAACGGAAGAGGTGAACAGGAGAAGAGAGGAGGGGATTGAGCTTGAGACAACTGAAAGGCAGGGATAGGGATGTGGGAATGTAAGAGAGAAGGACTGAGATAAGGGAGAGTAGATATAACTCAAAATACGAGGAGATTATAAAAGAGAGGCTGCGGAGTACTTGATGGCGGAGTGGGTTATTATTACTGATATGTGAATTATGTATTGCAGTCCACTATAAAATGAAAGTATATCGAACAGTGTCAACAGTTAGTATCAAGGTGATAAAACTGGAGGTATAAGTACCTAGTTATAGGCCAATAAGTTTACACAATTGCAAAGAGAATCCCCATTTTAGACAATAAATAATATTTTAGTGGTGCAACAAATGATAAAAATATCGAATGAACCCTTTCCAATGAGCCTGCTATTTGTATTAGAAAAGGCGTTTGACAGTGTAAGAACAGAAATAATTTTGTAGATCAAACATTCATGTTAACACTATAAAAGAACGGTAATCTTAGCAAATGGATTGAGACAAGATGCAGAATTATTCTACGCAGTATTAGAAATAATGTTCGTCGAAGAGCAATGGTTGAATACACTAAGGTTTGCTGATGACATAGATAGTGCTTATAAGAAAGAATGAAATATAAATAAAAAAAAATATTGAAAACAACATCGCGGGAAGGAAAACAAACTGGACTCTGTTTGTGGAAGAGAAATTGAAAAAGTGAACCATTAGATATGGTTAAAAAAATTACCAATAACAACACAGGAGAAGAAATAGTACGGAAATGGCAATGGAATGGCAAATGACAAACAAATACAAGGACATATGGAAAACAGACATAGAAGCTGAAAGAAAGAAAACTTGGTAGAAATGTGTGTTCTCTTTGTCATGATTTATGGATGCGAGACATGGACATTAACCAGTAAAATAATGCAGAAGATCAGAGTAATAGCAAGAACAATGGATAGAGGGATGATTGGAATTACGAAAAAAGATAGGAAGGTTAAGGAATAGATTAGAGAAAAGTCATGATGGGAGATGGACTGAGAAAATTTTAGAATGGCACCCAATAGACAAAAAGAAAGAAAAAGGAAGCGCAACTGCCAGCTGTAAGAATGGGTTTAAGAAACGCTGCGCTGGTGTAACCTAGCATAGAGTAGTTTGGAATTGACTAGTATGGAACCGACTACCTGAATTAATCACGAACATACGAACTCAATCAACAAGTATGGGATGCCACCGAATGCCATAAATGAGAATGAATATTCGAATTTACTTTAATAAGTGATATACATGACAAATTAAATTTACGAAATATTTAAAATATTATTTCAGTTTTTAATGAATGTACAGGTGTTCCAATTTCGATGTCCGCATAGGCTATCTTCGAAACTAAAAGAGATAGAAAAAAAGTAGCTTACATGTCATGATCTCGTTTTTCGAGAAAATGCTAATGTCGAAAACTCCGAACAGCTATCGTCTTTTGTTTTCGCCCTATCGGCAAAAACTGAAAATTTTGCAAAAACGACAGTCGCGAATATCTCACTTATTATCAAAGATGGAGTATTATAAATAAAACATTATATGGGCAACTTTTTACGAAGAATTCAGTGGCATAGGTAGAATTTTGTTCCCATCTTTTATTTTCGAGATTTTAGACGTAACTTTATTTTTTTAAATGGAAACCATTGTTAGCTATAATCAAAAATAATTTGTTATTTTCTTCTGATAACAAATACAAAAATACAAAAATTTATTTTGTTCTATCTAAAACTAATGTATGTATTTAAATAGAGTTGTTTAAAGTTATAAACTAATTTGTATGAATATTTTCGAATGTCTAAAATTGTCCAAACTTTGTTCGGGAAAATAGAAAAACCTATGAAAGCAAGATATTGGAGGAAATTAAATACTAGATATTTGTACTTTAAATAACTTTTTTATTGCAGTTTTGTGGTATTATTTATAGTTATAGATTATCACTATATTTATAATGTATTTTATCAGATAATATTGATAAAAATTACGTAAGGAATATTTACGTTTTACATAAGGAAGCCGAAAACTAATAAAAACTATAAAATTTATAACACAAGTGATGTTCTTTTTATGTAACAAAAGATCCGTTAAAAACCATTTCGTTTATCTAAAATCTAAACGAAATTTAAACCGTTTTGGACGTCTATACATAAAGTGGCCGTGGACCGAATTATCAAAATAGCTTTCTACAGAAGTTGTGAAAATCCAATGCAAAGAATGTTCCTAATTGTTTCGGAGCATCAGATGGAAATCATATTACTAGCTAGACCCTTCCAGAATAACAATTAGTTATTCTTTAATTACAAGAAATCGTTTTCTGTTGTTTTGTTGATGCACATTACAATTTTATTATAATCTATGTTGCTACATAGGGCTACTTTGGGAAAGAACAGTGACGGTGGATTTTATGTAAAATTTAGTCTAGGAGAAGTATTTCGACTTAACATTTTATCAGTACCACAATATGCTGCTTTGCCAAATTTAACTTGGCACTTTGCATTTTGACACAAAAGTTTAGGATTTATGACAAAAAAATTCAGATTAAACCAGAAAATGTCTAAAGACTAAATGACAGAAATTCTCATCTTAATTACAATTCACTTCTTTTTGTTTTTCTCATTTGGAATCGGGGATAACGAGTTTACTTCAGAATCATGATTATTTGCAATTCCTACAACGTTTTCAAATTTTTCGTTGTTTTGTGCTTCTCCAGCTCCTATTTATTGTTCATTCAAATTTGGCTTTTGATTCCGTTTACTTTTTCTCATAAAATATATTTAAACTAATTCCATTTATTAATTAATTCCATTTGTTGCAATCCCATATATTTCTTTGATATTACTTTTCGGTATTTACTTTTTACGGTTTATATTTTCAAAAATGTTTTTTTGCCACTTGTCCGGTAATTTTTGCCGATTTATAAATCGTTATAGATTCTTGCATCGATGAATAATGAGATTCTGTATCTTTTTCATCTATTTGTTTGTTTCCTCATTTTTAATATTATGGTGAATATTATTAATAGTGGTGGTCGTGTCGAAGGAACAGCCTCATCTTCTATTTGTATATAATAATCCTACATACTTTCCATTGAAATATTCTGTATATGTCTAAAAAATGTCCTTCAAAATAGCATCATCTTTTCAGTGCTTTACAGCATTGTGACGCAGGCCCAGTTGAGCATGAGATCTTGACAATGCTGTTGAGCACTAAAAAGGTGATGTTTTGCAGATCATCTTTAACGCTATTAATCCATATTCTGACTAATTAAACAGTGCTCAGTTATTCTGGGTTCGTAAAAGTTAACAGCTCAGCTTCTCAGCGGAAATTAAACTATTAAGTATATCAGGTCTATTTCACAATACTTTTACAACCAAAACAAATCATTAATTGCAAGATATACAATAAGATTTGTTATGAGTCATAATTTTGAAAGATTGTAACAATATTTATTTAACAAACTTCGATGTAAGTAATAAAACGATATCATAAAGTCAATAAATACTTTATTAGACAGATAAATGGAAGATAGTTTAAGTATGGATATAGTTTGATGTTAGTTAAGCGTTTTCGTTTAATAAGAACATTTAAGACGGTTTTCTCACGATAAGTGAAAAGGTGTTGAAACGAAACTCATTGTTGGCTAATCTAAATCTAATTCACAAATCTAGCACAAAAGTAAAAAACGAACAAACAAAAAAAATGTCCTATTTTCTATGTTAAGACATTCAAAGGTATTTAATCTAACAAAAATCTATGATAGAAATATTATAATAAATCTTTAATTTTATTTTATATTCTACTTATTCTTTGGTGGATACTTTTTTTTGATTTATTTTTTAATTATTTATTTCTTTTGAGGTAAACATGTATATTCATCAAAGTTAACACACATTTTCCGGACTTATTACAATGTATAAGGACGATATGTACGGTTTGGATGGACTAAATAACATATTATCAAGGACAATTATTATTATGTCGATAAATCATCACAGCTTAATAATTAAACTGATACTAATTTTTAATTAATCGACTTTTAATACATTAACGTAGAATTTGCGGCATCTTCTGGAACGCAAGTTGGGATTGCGTTCGACCACTTTCCGTTCTTCAAGCACTTCAGCATCGCCGCACCCTTCAACGATAATCCTTCGTCGCAAGTGAAAGTAATGTTTTCACCAATTTTATAATAGAATTTTACGGACGACATTCGACCGCTAATCGTCGTTCCAGGATAAGAACAAGCTTGCACACCTGCAATTAAAACAATTTCAAAATAATTTATTATTATTCTTTTTTATTATTTTCATGAAATATAAAAAAAAAATAAAGAGAAAAAGAGAAAATTGTGATTAAAAAATCCTAATAAAGCTAACGAATGTGCGAAGGAATTGCGGTGAAAGTTTCTTGTAAACTATCAGGTTCAAGGTAGTAATTAAGTGTTATTTCTTAAATTGAATTTTTTTTATAGCGAAAGAAAAGAATGAAAACAGAAAATATTTTTTGGTTTGATCCATCAAGATATTATCTGAAACAGTGGCAATCTTTTAATTTGTCCAAAACATATCTACAAATAAGTGCACTTAACGTAATTGACAAGTTTATATCTTGTATGTGAATTAGAATCAAGATTAATTCGATATGTTATTGTAAAAGACGAAAATAATTTTGATTGTATCAATGCTTTTAATAAATATGTAGCTGTTTCGTTAATTTGATTTTATTTGATGAAAATAGTAAACACTCTTTATTAAGAAAGATGTTGTATTAAGAAAATATTTCGATAAATAAAACAGTGGTGATAATTATGTAAAAAATTCAATGAAATTAGTACAATAGCATGTACAGGGCCGGCGCGAGGCTTTTTTACGCCCTAGGCCAAACTGTCCTATCACGCCCTTTGATTTGTACAATATACAGCACAGAATACAGAATCATTTTCTATGTAGTCCAATTTAATGAACTAACAGCATAAATGAATAGGTAAAATATGAATAGGAAAAGAAATTTAAAAACTCTTTATAAAGAATAACATTGTCTAATATTTTATTAATTCTAAAACATAATCGTATCGTTACTTCCAACAATATTAACATTTACGTCATAACATTGTAGATGTCGCACATTTCCCTTTGAAGGCAGGCCACAATATTAAAATGCTACTTTGCGTGCTTTCTCTTGTGCAAATAATGAAATTAATTCACAGAGGTCCAGATTGTAAGCCAGTTCTTGCTCTATTGATATTGTCGCTAATCCAACTAATCTTTCTTCAGTCATCGTTGAGCGCAAGTACGTTTTAATTAATTTCAATTTAGAAAAACTGCGCTCTCCACTTGCTACAGAAACAGGGAGAGTTAATAAAATCCTTAACGCGACGTAAATATTAGGAACGCTATTCTGGAGATCATGCCTTAAAATGAAAAGAAGAACTTCAGATGGGCCCATTACTTTTGGAAGTCTTCGAGACACACTTTGAAGTTCCCAGCATAAGTCTTCTCCATCAATGTCTTTACAGGAATTATGCGTTAAGGCACTTTCAAACTTTTTGCATTGCATAAGAATATCAGCTTCGTTTTTATCCTTTAAGTTAAAAATATCGTAAAGAAACCCAAATAAAGCACAATACTCTTGCATTTGATTAAATCTTTCCTGTATTGCATTTACTGCATTATCTATAATCATATAATAGAATGATATTTTATAGTTTTGTTTGGGATCTTGTATTGATACACCTTCGGCTTCATAATCAAACTGTTTTTTAATTTTCCTTCGCCTACTAGGTGCATTAGGAAAATTTGCATCAATATCGAGTTCGTTTGCCAGAAGTGTAGCATCTGATAAATTCTTTTCGAAGTTTTCATCTGATCGACAACTTACAAGATAATTCTTTGTAACTTCCAGCTGTTTCGTACATACAAATATGTCTGCATTCTTATTTTGCAGTAATTTGCTTGTAATGTTGATTTCGAAAAGAATATTGTACCACGTAATAAGTGACACTAGAAATTTAAATGTACTTATACCATCTGCAATTCCTTTTGCTTCCACGCGCATGATGTTTCCACTGTAACCTGCTGGATTTGGGTCATTATAAATATCCATAAGGGCGTCATATATTTTCGAAATTTGAAATCGCAGCGGCTTCAACGCATCGATACGGCTTTCCCAACGTGTATCACTCAGGGGTTTGATAGTTAAATTTGCTGCATGTTTTTGAAGAATGTGCCAACGTTTTGTAGAACCAGCGAAAAAAGTATAAATTTTTTGTACAATGTTAAAAAAACTTGTAGCCTCTAGGGAACAGCTCACAGCATCATTCACCACTAAATTCAAGGAATGGGCATTGCATGGAACAAAGAATGCGCGTGGGTTTTTTTCAATGATTTTTCGTTTAACTCCATTTATTTTGCCCTTCATGTTGCTTCCGTTATCGTATCCTTGCCCTCGTAAGTTATCAATTTGTAATCCCATTTGTTCGAGTTCATCCACGATTGTTTTTGATATGAAAGCACCTGTTGTTTCTTGTAGTGGCACAATCCCAAGAAAATGCTCCCGTATGACCACGTCAGGTTGTTGTGTTTCTTCATCCATTACATCAACAAATCTTATTATAATTGTCATTTGTTCCGTATGACTGATGTCAGGAGTACAATCCAATATGATTGAATAATATTTGGCTAATTTAGCACTATTCAAAATTTTTGCTCTTATAGCTCGTGATAGCAGTTGTATAAGTTCATTCTGAAAATCCTTGCCGAGATAATGAACAAATAATTTAGCATCTTTAACTTTTTGCAAATGTTCATTCATGACTGGATCGAATAATGCAAGATATTCAATAAATTTTAAATAGTTGCCGTTATTATGGTCATATAATTTATCCACCCAAAGTTCTCACCAAGGCTATTAAACGATGTAAAATTTGTTTCCAATAGCTCTCCTGTTGTTTAATTTTCTTTTGGTGCATGGCGTCAATGGTTTTATTTTCACGTAGGCGAACTTCTAATTCTCGCCAAACTTGACAATTGTCAATGTGATTTACATTGCGCTCATGGGAAGAGAGGATGGTGCTCATGTTTTTCCAGTCGTTACTTACTTTTCGGCACAGTGAGGTATATGCAGATTTTAGTTTTTTCTTGAATAAGTTGCAGCAAAAACATACAACTGTGTTATTTGAAGGAGAATAAACTACCCATTTTCTTGGTATATTTTCTCCATTACACATTTGTCTATTGAAGTGAACCGTGGTAAACCTACGGTTGTTTTTATCTTTGGGAAACTGACTTGGAATATTTTGTTGAGGGCCGCGTGAGACAATCATTTGTTGCAAATGATCATTTATAGAATCAGGCCAGGTACCAGGATCGTCATAATCAATGGAAACGTATGCCGATGTATTTGATGTTCCTTCATCCTTTAAATTTTCACCGTGTACTGCTTCTGTTCCCTGCTCCGTAGTAGAAGTACTGCATTCACTTGTCTCTGTTAGAATATCCGTATTTTCTTTATCTTCTCTTTGAAGAAAAACAAGGAGAGATCTTTTTAATTTGGCACTTTCTTTCTCTTTTTCCGCTTTCCGTTTTCGGTTTTGCGACCCAGAAGGTCGCTTAGGCTTACTAGCATCAGCCATGACAGTTCTATTGAAAGAATACTTTGATTATTCTTGAAAAGCGAACATCACCTATTGCAAGTGGTATTCATAGAACACTTTTGGAGGAAGACATCGATAGGTTTTTAACAGAACGCAGAACACCGTAAACGACATTGAGAAAAATTTACAAGAATCGATTTTTTAACTGCTTTATCTTACAGCATTTTTTTTTTTGTGGGCAAGAGGTTTAATGAGTTTTCATTGAAATAAGACAGTTATTAAAAAACAATTTTTGTGAAATTTTCTCAGTGTTGTTTACGATGTTCTGATGTTTTAAAAATCCGTCGATATTTTAACTAATTTTAACGTCATAATATTTTCACACTTACCAAATGTTTTAAATCACAACACAATAATAAAGGTTTTTTGGAAAAATGCGATCCGACTACACGTAGAACTACTGCTAAATTTTATAGGTTAGCTATTTAATTCTAGTGACATTTCTTGCGTTGACGGTGGTACGTATTACACTGGTATTCCGGGGTTCCCGTGAAAGCAATAGGAAGTAAGGTTATATTTATGTCTACTTCCTTTAGAGACATTAGAGACCATTAGAGAATGTAAAAAAGATCAGGCAATACACTAATTGAAAACCACGTTAAAATTAAAAATATTATACATAGTCCTTATAGTCCGGTCGAGTATGTAATACGTACAATTGTTAAAGGTTGCCTAATACAGTGGTCGCTTTTGTTAAAAATTTGGCCCAATTAAGATTAATTTAAGAAAGTGCAAAACTTTTGGCTTTTTTTCTCGTGCGCCAAAATTTTGCGCCCCCCCAAACTCGCGCGGCCTAGGCAACCGCCTAAATTTCGCTTATGTCGCGCCGGCCCTGAGCATGTATACTATTAATTAAGGACAAGTCTCCCAACAAAGCGTTTTATTAGCAAAGAGGTAATCAACCCATGAGATGTTACAAGTGTTATTACAAATGCGTGACATGCACAGATAATGAGTTCCTGATCTTAATCCAAACCAAGTTTTGATAATAAACCTATTTTTGTGTGGTTTCTTACATTTTGGAAGAGGTCCAGACCACCTTCCATTATCTTGGCAAGCAATAATCGGTTGTCCTTCCATCATGTAATCGGTATTGCAATTAAATTGGACTACATCTCCAGCTTTGTATGGCCCAGTTCCTTGAATGTAACCATTTTCCGGCGATCCTGGTTGATCACATTGAACTTCTATATACACAAATTCAAAAAATAATTAATAATACAAAACAAATGGTGATCAATCATAATTCCAGGAAAAAAATCTTTAAAAAATGTGAATATAAAACATAATTAGACCACAAATTAAAAATGAGTTGAATAATTGGGAAAACAGAAAAAAAAATGATGAACTGGAAACTGATTACAAAAGAAATCAAAAATAAGTACAAAATCAAAAAACAACCATCTTTTACTACAAAATAGAACATACCTACACATGTAGGATATGGGGTTTGCCATTCACCGCTTGTTAAACAAACGGTTTCTTGGGCACCCCTCACACCAAAACCTGGTGAGCAACTAAAAAGTGCTCGTCCACCAACTTCTCTAGATATTATCGTTACCCTCAAATGCGGGGGAAGAATACCACCGACTTCGCCGCACTCAATACCTATTTTAAGAAGGATAACTTTGGCATTTTTTCGATGGGATAAATACGTAATAATGTAGTGCTCATTTGGTGTAGAAAAAAAAATGTGTAGAGTAAATTCTTGTTAGATAATAAAATGGTGCTATAACTATTGCTTGATTGACGTGTCAATTACTACCTAGTAATGGTAATCCAGGGTGAACGACGACCCTTCGAGAGACATTGCAATTTTCTGCATTAATCATTCTCGCAATCTTCTCTACAAAAAAAGAAAGAAAAAAGGAAAACCTTAAGAAGATTTGAAAAATTTTAATTGATCTGGATGATTTTAGTGATTTCTCCCGAAGGGTGCATCATTTTAATTTAACGAAAATAATTTTCTTAGTTAATTTATTGTAATTAATTTACCGCAACAAGGTTTGCTTTTTTAATATCAAAGGACATTTACCCAAGAATGAATAATAATAATAAAAGTGACTATACCCGATATAAAAAAATTCTTCACGTTTTTCTTTATGCACGTTAAACACGTGACCAATAACGCGTAAATAATCTGGCCGTACTTGACTTAACACGTAAAGGCTATTATTACCACGTTCTAGTACATAATTATAAACTCAAAATTGTTATGGTGCAACATTTCTCATGACCGCAATTACGGTTAGATCAGCATTAATTCAAAGTTATTGTTCGAAGGTATATGCATTTCTAAGATAACATAACACACCTCGCGCATTCCTTAGATAACTCTTATTGAAGAAAACCCGGTTGATATCTAAACGATTTCAATGTACCGTTCGATGGGGATAAAGTGAATAACGTAAAGGGGCCGTAAATACCCTTTTTCGATGGTTAGTTATAGAGAAGTAGAATTGCTTTTCTACGATGTTAAGTGTAATTAAGTGTAAACCGTGGTGAATAGAATGAATGGTCGAGTTAATTGAAATTTATTAATAAGATGTGGTAGCTTACTTTCACAAACAGGGAACGGTGCACTCCAATTCCCGGAGGGGAGGCAAGCAACTTCGGCCGTACCAATTAATGCATTTCCATTAACGCAAGTAAATTTTAGCCTGGTGTTCATCTTCGTGCTTTGAGTGTTTACTGATAAACCTCTTCTTTGAGGAATTACTGGGCAATGAACAGCTGTAAATGAAAAAAATATTGTAATATGTTTTTAATGCAATAAGGCACGACATAATCAAGAAGTTTATAGTTTTACTTTTATATTATTGTTCTATAAAACAGATATTGATTACAATGAGACTTGAAAGAGGAGAGAACCTGGGAGGATACTGTAAAGGTAAGAAATGAGTTAGACATAAAAGACGATAAGCATGCATGGCAAGAATGAAAGTATACAAAGAAGAAAAGTAGTGAAAAGGGACAGGTAACAACAAGAACACACTTAACAGTAACTAGAAAAGGAAAGAAAGACTGAACAGAGAGGAGGGTAACTGGAATGATACTACAAAGCCACCGGTGATCGCAAGAATGACACTTTTAGTAGAAAACAAGACTAAGAAGAGAATAAAAGTAGTGGATAAAAGGAAAGAAACTGGAAAGGTAGTGGTACTAAAAAAGAACAGAAGTTGGATTGAGAAAAGAGATACTGGGTAGAGAACAGGAAGCCTAGAAAATGAAAAATTAGACACACACGAACTACTCTTTTTACTGCAAAGTCAAGAACAAGAAAGGAACTATACACGGTAGATAATACTGGGAAGAATAACACAAACAGATTTATCAAAAAATGGAAAGGGAAATAAAGAGATAAGACAAAGATGATAGCTATTAGGAAAAGGTCGGTAATGGCAGGAACAGGACTGGTAATACAAGGAGGAGTCGGGAAGAATAATGAGAAAAGATCATAAGTAATGGACAAACCAGAAAGACACTAGTAGTAGAAGGAAGATACTGAACAGAAAATGCTAAGAGAAAAATAATAAAGTACTGATACTGAAAAAAACAGAAAGATGAGACTGGAGAGAGATTGCAAAAGCAAGAACGTCCGCAGATAGAGAAAATTGAGTTTTAAAAGATACTGATAATAGAAGGAAGATACTGACCAGAGGCTGGAGAGAGGAAACGAGACTAAGTAGAAAACTAAAAAAAAACGAAAAAAAGATATGCAACAAGGGGTAAGTGAAAGAGACTGCAAATACAACAACAAGACTAGAGAGGCAAAAGGACTATTAGAATGAGACTGGTAACAGAAGAAAGAGACTGTAAAGACAAAAAAGGAACCGGACCGAGAGAAAGGAGGCTGGACTAAGACTGTAATAGAATATGAGGGGTGGACAGAAAACCGGAACGGATACTATAAGGAATGAGAAGTAATGAAGAAAAACGACGGAAACTGAGAAGACATTGGTACAGAAACTGAAAAAACATAAAAGAAACTACGGGTACAAGAGAAACAATGCAAAGAGATTATAAATACTATGTGTCTAGACAGAGAAAATTAAGATGACTGGCAGAGACTGGAAAGGAAAAAAGAGGCTGAGCAAAGAAGAGGAAGAGTAAACAAAAATTGCAAACGCAAGAAAGGAAAGCCTAGAAAGAAAAACTGGAAATAAAAGACGACATTGGACACAAACTAGAAAGACAAACAGATGAATAGGGACTTTAAAGAATTAAAGGAGATCGGTAACAAGACAAAAACGCTGAATAGAGGCTGAAGAGAGAAAAGAGATAATAGATAAGATAAATTTAGTTTAATTTTGTTCCTTTGCATTCTAAGGGTGCACACTCCATGGTAGTTACTTTAATTATGCTCTGAATAACATCACGGGTTTTTATAAGATGAACTACTCCTTCCTCGAAAGAAAATGAACTTAATGTTTTCTCAAAATATACAACAAATGTGGGAGATGTCCAGTTTTCTCTCATAGAACAAAATTTTTTTCAAGAAGAACTTGTTTTTGCTTATCTCAAAGTCATAACAACATTAGCAGAGGAGTGATCCAGGCGTACATCACCCTTGCTAGCACTTGATCAATTCTCTACTATAGTTTTAGTAAGCTCGTACAATATTTTTGAGCCGAAATTCCTACAACTTTGCTGGAATGAAATGAATTTGATGTCTGCTGATAGTAAGTGAAGAAAGAGATTGTGTATAGAGGAACGAAACTAAGAAATCTATAAAGGCAAGGATGGAATTAAACATAGTACAGAGAAAGACTGGAAAAGGGGCCACAGCGGTTTAGTGAATAAATTTGATAAGTTAGATTTTCGATTTCTGAAGAAAGGAAATTCAGCAATTTGATATGCTGACAGGATGTCTTTCGCAACTAATATCGTACAAACTACAAGCAAAGGAAAGTTGTAATCCATCTTTCTAACAAGTTAGAATAATGCTGGAAAACATTTGTAATCTTAATTAGAAATAAGATCTACTTTTCCTTCGAGAGTAAGACATTTTCTTATCAGAACTAAATCTATAAGTGTTCGTGATCTTAGTGAAGGTTCGCAAAAATCGTTTAAAGAAAAAATTAAGTGACTAAACTCAATATTAACATTTTTCAAGCAATATTTGGTGAGTAGATGTTACAAAGGCGAATACATTTTTACTTTTTTATTATACAAGGTAATGAAACAACAGATAATGTTACTCAAATTCCACGTAGAAAAATCAGTTTTAACTCGAAATGAAAGAATTCGTTTTTTTAGATCCAGTTTTGTTTGTAACTTCCTTTGTAAAACTTCCTGTCGAGAAGAAGGTCCGTCAATACAGCGCAGAACATTTATTCTTTGGCTTTACAAAATTTCTGTTCTCAGAATCTGCCGAAGCACGACTGCAGTGTGTTATTTGCAGCCAGGTTCTAGCAAATGATTGTATGAAACCAGCTAAGTTAAGACACCAGTTTGAAACTAACCACCCAGAGTTTCAGCAAAAAAATACGGATTTTTTTAAAAACAAAGAACAACAATTAAAGGACATTTAAAGAATCCCACATTGCCATACCAGCTTCAAACAATTCAGACATAATGGCCTCCTTTAAGGTATGTCAACTAATAGCTAAAAAAGGTACACCTCATGCTATTGCTGAAGATCTCATATTACCAGCAGCAAAAATTATGGTGTCTGCAATAATTGGCGATAAAGCTGCCAAAGAAATTACACAAATTCCGTTGTCAAATAATACAGTGCTAAGAAGAATGCAAAGTATGGCAGAAAACATAAAGAGTTCGTGTATCACCTTGGTTGCACTGGGTCGACTTTGGAAATTACATAAAGATGTCAATGTATTCTTAATGGAAGAACAACGTTTCCAATCCCATCGCTCTGATAAATTATCCCCAGAAAATTTAAATAATTCTACATTTCTTATCAAACTGGCGTACTTATCCGACATCTTTACTCACCTCAATGATTTGAATGTAATATTACAAGGTGAAAATGTAAATTGTTTCCAGGTAGAAGACAAGATTGAAGCATTGAAACTGGAATTATGGGAGAATCGACTCAAAAGCGGAAATGTGAAATCATTTCAAAACTTGTCGACATTAATAAAAACATGTCTGAAGATACACTTCCAAGTGAGGAAGCACAAATAATCATATGTTATTTGGCAAATCTAAGAAGCACCTTCAGAGAATATTTTCCACTTCGTGACTATTATGACTATAGTGTTTATTATCAAAGATTATATGGATATGGATGTCAAGGAAGAAGATTTTATTGACTTAGTTACCAATGGAGAGCTTCAAATGGCTTTCAAAGAAAAAAACCTGTCTGATTTCTGGGCTTACGTTTTCAATGAATCGCCGAATTTAGAAAACAAAGTTTTGTAAATTTTAATATCCTTTCCAACCATATATCTTTGTGAACAATATTTTTCGTCGTTACTTCAAGTAAAAAGTAAATCAAGAAACAGATTAATTAATTTGGATGCCGAATTACGCGTTAAACTGTCGAAAAATATACAACCAAACTTTGAGAAACTTGTAAAAGAAATGCGAGTTCAGCGATCGCTTTAATTTATTTATTTTTGTACCTTGTGATACTAGTTAAAATGTAAAACAAAATATATCCTTTGTATATAAAATTAACGGTTTATTAATTTGTCCAGGGGTTTAATTTGTTTAGTTACTATAGGGGTCCATGGCGAACACAAACGATTTTAGGCGGTCCATAGTTAAATCTAATTGGGAATCGCTGTTCTATAGCATCTTCTAGTATTCTAGAATAAGCTGTATAGTCTACCTTTGCCACGATAAATATCTATTTAAACTTCCAGAATCATTGATCCCAACATTGATGAAGAACAGAGTATGTTATATATTATATAACATTGAGAAACTCAAAATAAAATGCAAAAAACCTCTATTTACAACTTATTTTTTCCTACCTCGAACAATAATTTCAACTGAATGGGTATGTCTTGCCGGTGTTTCACAAGTAAATATACCAGAATCATCTTTGGAAGCGTGCAATATTGATAAACGATACTCCAATTGAGAATCCCTTCCAGGATCAGCAGTCCATCCTTGAGGATATTTTCTGTAATCGTGACTAACCGTCCAATTGGGATTTCCGAACCGCTTCATCCACAAACATTCCATGTGAAGAACAGTTCCTGGATAAACCATCAATTTTCCGTCGTTCGTTTGCGCAATTGGACCTAATTGGTGTCTAAAGAGAATTGTAGGTGGTTTTTCCATAGAGTAATCGTTTTCTTGGTTTAAACCGAAACATGATGGTTTAGGACCATCCCAATCGCCACCCATACATCTTCTTTCATTGGGACCTAAATAACAACCATCAAAATCATGCTCTTTTTGTGTGTATTAAAATGTACCTGTCATTGTATATTTTCCAATATCAATACATCTACTAACCAAGTGAGCACCGGAAGGAAACTCGACGATGTCTTCCTTGATTTCTTGATCGTTATAAAAGGAAATGACGTTGATTTCCTGATTGCGAAAGATGCACGTGCTGTTGCTGTGCGATTTTAATGTGAGGAGTTCGTCCAAGTCTAAAAATATTGTATTAGTAATTAAGATCAAATAAAAAAATATTTATTTTTTTATTAATTAATTATTAAGATTAGTTGTGTTAAATAAAACACCAAAAAATATTAAAGAAATCTTTATTACACTACAAATGAAGCTGAATGTATTAGGATGGAAAGAAAAAAATAAAACTCATTTGGAAGCCTTTTGTTTGTATATATTTTTCTTGATAAATGATTTGAAATTGAATTTTTTAAATGCAGACCACGTTTCACTTTACATATTTTTATTCGAACGATTACAATAGGAATTAATGATCACTTTAGCACTTCATAACGAACGTAGAAAATTAATTATGCAAGTACCTGTCTATCTAAATATGTAATGAACCAATTATGGTCTACGTATTAAAATGCAATAGAAAGCATTACACTTCATTAAAACGCGTATTAACAATGCATATACAATTTCCTAACAACTTTTACTTTTCCATCACGACCCGACCTACCGTAATAATATAAGGAAGTTTGATAATATGTAATTTGCATATTAAAATTGTATACCTAATATAGTTTCTGCATTAATAAAGGAATGTTGGAGATAGGAATAAAGAAAATAAAATTAAAATTATATAAAAAATAAAATAGTTGCAAACAATATAAATCAAATAGCAGTGTTTAGCAAAAAGTTATTATATTAGATTATGTAGTAATCTTATTCATAAGATCACTAACCGCAGTTTAGTGATTTTCCAATCCAACTTCCATCTTCGCAGATAATTTTCCAAGTGGTTTTCTCCCCCATAATGGTTTCAATGCAGTTAAAGGTCACCTCAGTTCCTTCAGGAAACGTTTGATCATGATCCACCAAGGGTTCACCGTTTCTGTACACCAACGAACCTTGCACTCTGGAAGGTAGGCATAATTTTGGGCGGATTTTCGTGAAAAGTTTTCGACCTTTTTGTGTTGAATTGAAATGTTTTTACTCACTTAGCAGGCGGCGCGCAAGTTTTCATGGATCCGCCAAACTCAATTTGCGCGATGTCGCCACCCCTCACGATGTCCCCTCCACCTAAATATCGGGGAGAATCAAAGATGTTAGTCGAAGGAGAAGTGTTTACCGACGATGAGGATGAAGGCGGCAGCTCGAGATGAGCGGTACAAGAAGGACCACGTGGAAATAGTTGACCAAGAATGCACTCGATTTGTTTTGCAGTAGATTTTCGGAAGCCGTTATCGCACTGATAGTTCACGCTGGAACCGTTTGCTATTGTTAGACCCGCACGGTACCCGGAAAGGTACTGGCCGTTTTGAATTTGTGGAAGGATACATGGGGCTAAAATGAAAAGAAATAACAAAAATAAAAATGAAGGGTTTAATAAAGGGGGGAAAATAAGTTACAAGCTGAGAAGCAATTTATCATAATTTGAAAATAAAAACTTTAATTAAATATAAATTAAGACAATAAATAAATAGTGATAACAGCTGCAAAATAATTGAATTGGGAAAGAAGTTTTAGGATTACTTGGACTTTTAATGTTTCAAAAACATTTTAATCTTTGTTGAAATTCAGATAATAGTTATTAATATCTACTATATATTAATCTTTTGTTTTTTTTTATTAATTTAATTAATAAAAATATTTAAATGATTTTTATATGAATAACAACGATGAGAAAATATGATAGGAAAAATGATTAAGGAATAAAAATGATTTCGGCAAAAAGATAAACGAAAAAGAGAAATGAACAAAAAAGAATTGATGTAGCGAAAATAATAATTTCTATTCTATTATTATTTCAGTAACATTTCAATCCAAATTGACGACTAACACTGAAACGAACGTTTTAATTTTGTGATTAAACAATCATCATGCGTAAATAAATCGGTTAAAATAGGTTAGATTGTATGCAAAGGCGACTGGAATCATCTTAGATAAGCAATTTAAACTATCTCGTTCTGTTGAAAAATTTCGTTGATCTAAATACAGATATTCTACAGATATCTGTATTCAGGTCGAGAGGATAGTCATCGGAAGTTTTAGCCATTAATTCTGCACAATCGCTCGAATTCGTCGATTTTCGAGTTATGAAGAACTAATTAATTTAGATCACGATTAGTCTTGTTTTTAACTCTTAGATGAGGAAAATATTACAAAAATTTCCGTTATAGAATTCCAATATAGTCGCTTAATCATAAAAGCACATGCAAAATGTATAACTATATTTTACTAATACTCTAGGAAGTCCTATGATTAAGATTTGTTTCCAATTAAAATATGTTCATGGCGCCAAGTTCTTTACGCAAGCAGTGTAACCATCTATAAAGACAACAATGCATTTATTCGTTACTGACTATGTTTTCGTACGAATTCTTCTCCAGTGTAATCGCGGCCTAACGAACAAATGCATTGTTGTCTTTAGAGGTGGTTATATTCAGGCGCTGACTTTTTAATATTTAAGGGGGGGCTGAACTTTTTCAAACCTTATTACAATACAATTGTATTGTACATAATAATAAGTAATACAATTGTACACTTTTACGATTTTCCGGGGGGGCTCAAGCCCCGTGGCGCCGACTACGGGGGGGCTCAAGCCCCGCAGCCCCCCCATAGTCGGCGCCATTGGTTATATTGCTTGCGACAAAGGACTTGCGGAAATACAACGTTATTGATGAATTCGTACGAACTAGTATAGATTGTCAAGAATAACTCTGCGGGTAAAATTTTAAAGACAAGGATTGCGCAGTAGACCACGCAGTAGACGCGGCCCCAAATTTAAGAGGTTCGCAATAGATAAATTGCTTAACGAAAAAGGACACGATGTTTTAAGACTTCCTCTGTATCACCCTGAAGTAAATCCATGGAGCACTATGTTGCAGGCAGAAATGTTGATTTTAAATTACACAACATAGAAAACTTATTTTTTTTAATGTTTTTTTCACGAATTTTTTGACAAATTTTTACACGAAGAATGGCGGTCTAGATGTGATCATTCAAAAAAGGCCGAAGAGTTTGTTGTAGAAAATGGACCCGTGCTTGACGTAGTCATTGATTCATTAATGCCAACTTGCAACGAGACGAAAGTGATCGTAATAGTTACAGTGACAGTGATCTGATATAAGTCCCTTATAATTTAGTTTGTTTATTATTTTAATTTTCAAAAAAAAATGCTAATAAAATTTAAAAAACCGTAAACTTATACATTAACATATCGACTCGTGTAACGAAAACTGTAGTAACTCATTTTTTGGAGAAATTGAGTTACGACTGTTTTCTAAACAGTTGTGTGCGTAAAATATTACGTGGTAAGCTGTTGTAACGTCTGACAGTATATATACAACTACACATCCAGGATTGAGTTTATCGTAAGTCAAACTGAGTAGTATTTCTTCTAGGAATATCATCTTATGTTAAGTTATTGTGGTTGAAATTAAAGCTGTGAATTAATATTCCCACGTAACCGATCATAAGTTGAGTTACTACAGTCTTCGTTGCTTAATCAGTAGGAAATCTCGCAACGACCTTGACTTACTATTGTTTCTTTGCGCCACTTATCAAATTTTGAAGATAAGGTTGTTTGCTTATCACTAATTCTGATTTGTGTATGTTTGGATTGAAGTAGTGTAAAATGAATACAGCAGAAATAATTCTAAAATTAGCTATGCAATGGGTTTAAGCCTACACTAATTGTGGTGAGTATATAATAAACTTTAGTTTAGTTTCTGTCATCATGTACATACAATTAATATTTATGAGCAGGATCAGATGCAAGTAAATCACAGGATAACTGTAGCAGCAAAGATGCTCCCTCAAGCTATGATATAAAAAATCAAACAGAAAGTTGTTTACCGGAAAATACATATAGAGAATGATATTGCAGGAAGAACAGTATGTAATAAATGAATCAATTCCACGAAGGAGAAATGTATTTCTAATTACGAGATAGAAATATTCGGATGTTGATCCTGATTATGTGTCAACTACGAAAAAGCGAAATGATTGGAAAGACAAAGCTAAGAGAGAACTAAATTTAGGAAATGAACACAAAAACAGAAAAGGCAATGTTATTGCTTCTAGAAAAATGGGAACCTCATGTAAACAAAACTGCAGAAATAAGTGCAGAGAGAAACTTGATGAAGACCAAAGGAAAAAATATTTCAGGACTTTTGGAAGTTAGGGGACCACACAAGACAGTGGGATTATATTGTAATGTGCGTGAAGCAAATAGAAAAAGAAAACAAGTTATAAACAAAAACGATTCAAGGCGTAATTTTTCATGGGTTTACAAATTCAATGTTTGCCATGCGATTATAAAAATTTGCAAAACGATGCTTTGCAATACACTAGAAATGTCGGAGACATGGGTGACAACTGCTTTGAAGAAAATCGGAGAAAGTGGAACTGTAGAAGAAGTTAAGCTCGGATAAGGCCTCAGAAAGTTAAAGGTGGTATCAAACGACAGAGTGATAAGACACATTAACCTTTTCCCCTTCGTTCCATCTCATTACATTAGGAAAAATTCAAGCAAAATATATTTGGAAAACGGTCTAAATATCTTAAAAATGTATCGCATGTACACTGAATATGTTAAATAGAATTAGCAACCCAGAGAGAGTATCGTGAAATTTTGAATTCCGAATTTAATATAAAGATGTAAAATCCAAAATGCAATAAAAATACAATATGCACTTGAGTAATAAAATTACAGCTAGGTTTGTAAAAGATAAAGACAAAAGCTTGGCAGTTGAGGATCGAACGGTTTACTTCAAAGCAAAATTGCCACATACAATTTTACAATTTATGACATGGACAATAACCAAGGATACTTCTATGTTTGGTACGAAGAGGTTGCAAAACGAGGCCCAAATAAAATGAGTAGCTGTTTGTTACACTTTCTGGAAAAACAAAAAGAAAAGGGAGTCAACAAAGTGTTTCTCTAGTTTGACAACTGTGGAGTGAAAAACAGCTATCGTTATATTTTCTCTAAGTTTGCTTACCGATTTTTAGAAAAAGGACATACCCAAAACGAAGGTTAGCATGCATTCAGTCGAGAATGCATCGAGAATTCAAAAAAAAAAGGACAAGGTGCAATCTATACTCCTAGTCAATGGGTTGCTTTAATAAAAATGGCTAAAGTAATCGGTAAGCCCTATATGTATAGTGAAGGAAATGCCTCAATATCTAGAGAGTTAACGTGGTCACCAATCTTGTTACCAACCTTTCAAGAAACGGCAAGGACAATACATCTAATAAAGAAGCGGCGCAGCCGAATGCAGGATCATCGTGATCCATTACTGAGGCTTTATACGCGCCTCCTTTCGATCGATTCGAAAAAATTGAGTGGATTATGGGAGTTGTGCAAAGGCGACGAACCAGATATACCTACAATATACCACAGTTTCTTTTTTCTCTGGAATCGAAAGAAGTCAAAACGACTAAGAAAGATGACAGTGATTGCGAATAAAAAGTGTTCTTTTTTAATTATGTTTGAAAATGTAATATTACTCTTGTAGAGATTTTCAAAATATTATTATTCCAAAATAATAGTATCTTTTATTTTTTCGTAACTAATTCCGACGAAAACTGTAGTAACTGATTAAAACAAAGTCAAGAAAATAATTTTAAAAAATTAGATTCTAATAATTTGTTTGAGTTTTTGATATTTGACTCACATACAAACTTGTATTTACGTAAAAATTAATATACAATATTTTCTAAATCACTAGATATTGTAAAAAAACTTTAACAGCGTTTTCTTTACCCAAATGCTTTCTCACATTTTGGTCCCAGGATGCGTAGCATCTTCTACCGAACTCCACCCGCAGAGTTATTCTTAACCTATACGAAGCGTTTTACTACAATGTATCAATATTTAAGTGTTATTTTCGCTAGAATTAATGATCAGATTTGACCAACAGATTTGCAAAAAGAAGGTTTTTTTTTGCAATGTTGATCTTATCTGGCCAAAACTTCCGTTGAGTATTTTCATACGACTTTATATGTTTAAATATCGGATACTGAGTACTGAAATCAAAATTTTATTGAGATGAAATTTAGCACAGTATAATATATAAGATCGTTGGATTGAAATATTCCGAAATAATATGAATACATTTGATATTAGCCATATAATATGTATTTAAAAAATTTTTAATCGGTTTGATAATTTCCATTTGGGGAAATATAGAAATATTATCTTGAACAAAATATATTAATATCGACACATTATGATTTGAAATTTAAATCAAAACGATTGGAAATTCCGTTAAAAATTAGCATGATTTCATTTGAAATGGCAAAAATCTATGATGATTGTATGAAGATCTATGATTCATCTTTTAATTTAACTCGATTTTCATTTATATCATTTAACTTTAAGATTTAAAATATTTAAACTTATGATCTTTATAAGATTTTATTCCGTAAGAACGCAAATTCCCTAAATTCCCTATTTTTTAAAATTTATCTGCCATAAATTACGAATACCATAAATATTATTTTTCTTATCCTGTCTTTATAGGATTATCGATTCCCTTAGCATTATCTCCAGACTACACTACATTAATATTTACAAATATTTTTTAAAAAATAATTCTGTTTAGTTTTTTTTTAAATTGAAATTCTGGAAAAATTTTAATTTTTAATGTAACTGTTTTAAACGTTTAATTTTTCGATGTTATTTTTTTTACAAAAACGATACTTACGTGGAGAACATTCAGGTTTATGTGGTTTCCAATTTCCCCGCACACATTTCGCCGTTTTATTTTTGGGCATATTCGAAAGATACCCTTTTAAACACGTTAATCTTATAACAGTACCACTGCTATGAGTTGAATTCTTATCTTTCCCATGTTTAACAACTTCGATATTCACATATTCATCAGAAAGGGGATCGCATGGTACACGGTGTTTATTTTTCTTATTGAAAGGACTCGGACTTGTTGTACCAAAAATTATATCATTCTCATCTGGTTTCTTGTTGCCACCTCTACGCACATTAGTTGATGATCCAGATCCTTTGTGTGTAATCACTGAAAGTTTACTACTACTTGAACTTCCTTTCAAAGCACGTTTTCGTCGTTTTTTGATATCCTTGGAAACGTCGAATAGTTCATCTAGATAAGATGGGATTGAAAATTTGTAGGGTTTTTCGTAAAATTGTTTATTGTATCTTATGAAGGCTCGTTTGTAACGTTCTACTATTATTGATCTTCGTTTCCTGCTCCAACGTAATCGCGGATGTTGACCCAATACACATCTAATTAATATATTAATTATACAAAAATATTATAAAAAAATTGATTAGTTTTACTTTGGTAGTTGGGTAGGACTCCATTTTCCACCAATACAAGTTGCGCCTGGTGGTCCTTCGTTTAATATATAACCTTTATCGCAGTCGTACATTATTTGCTTGTTGTTGGTTACTTTTCGAACGTAAGGTCTATAATCGTAAAGCCCCATATTGCCAACGAGAAGAATCTTTCCGTTTTCAACGAATCCGGGAAATGGACAATAAACTAAAAGGACTAAGAGATTAACTACCTAGATAATTGTTAAACAAATACCTTCTTGACAAATAGGCACTTCTCCAGTCCAATTTCCAAAAGAACACTCGATAAATTGGTTTCCTTTCAATTCGAATCCATCCTTACAGGTAAACTTTGCCTTCATTCCGTGATCAATTTTAGGTGCAATCACCATTCCATGTTTTGGATTTTTGGGTAAATGTTTACATCTAAAATTTAGGTTAAGAAAAATTTATTAAAAGTTAATTTATTTGATAAAATCGAAAATTAATTAAAATTTAAACCTTAAAACTAAACATTGCATTAGATTTAATTAAAATGAAGAGAGCGGTTTCAATCATTTATACAAAACATCAGCTTTTACATATTAACTATCTTCTAAGATTGTTATAAAAGTCTTTCGCTTCTTGCTTGTCTATTTAATAATTCATAATTATCTTAGTTATTATATTTTTTTTTCATTTTCTTTTATCATTGATTGTGTATGCACGTCATTGTAGTTCATTAATCCGAGTTACACGTCGCATTGAGGCTTTCCCACTAGGCATCAAGCAAACTTTTTATGCACTTTTATGGTTAAAGTAGAAGTACGTCGAAACTGAAGTAGACTGGAAAATGGAAAATGTCATGCAAAATCTTGACCAAATTGAAGGGGAACCAAAACCACTGTGTTTGAATACTATGAAATGAATATAAACAGGTCAAGTCTCTAATAAATAACAATGTGAAGCAGTGTCAAAGAAGCACGCAACACCAACAAGAAATTACTGAAGCTCATACTTGTAAGGAATTAAACAAAATTACGCATTATACACAAAAAATTGAGTGCTATCAAAAAAACCTCAAATTGTTAAGGATAGTTTACCATAACAGATAGAAAAAATGTTAGAAAGTTAAGAAAAAAATGGCAAAACACCGGCTCGAAAATCAATCGCGCCGCCCGTCAACTAAAAATTCCATATCTGCGTTTAAAAACACATCCATACGACGTTCCTGAAAAGTATAACAAATTCAGCTAAGACAAACTATTCTTTATGGAAACTTAACAAATTCAAAAACCAAAGTGATATAAATCACAAGACCAGAATGTAAAATGGGCAAGAAGCAATGAAGACAAGGTTCGCAAGTTTGCGGAATATCTAATTTCAGTCTTCCAACCTCACATGAAAAAAATTCCATCTACTGAAGAAGAACACTACAACTCTACAGGCTTCTCGCCAAATGTGTTTACCAACGAAAAAGTTTAAAAAGACTGACCTTATCGGAGTGATTACAAGTTTGAAACATAGAAAAGCTCCAGGTTATGATCTCATTACAGGACAAATATTGAAGCAATTATCTGATATCATCATCAAGCTCATTAAGTACATTTTTAATGCCATACGTTGACTTGAATGGTTCCCCGGTGAATAGAAAATTGCTGAAGTTAAATGATAGCCACGCCCTATCAGTTCCGGTGCTTGGTAAAACATGGCAAATCAACGTAAACTGTAAAAAAGTCTTGAACTTGTGCTGCAGTATTAATTTCTTCGTTGGTTAACACCTTTTTGCAAATTCTGTCATCATGAATACGTACAAATTCTTTAAATTTGTAGTACAATATTACATTGGTTAAATCAGACACTACTTCAACTGCATTCTCGTCACGGATATTATTTCTAGCTGGAGTGTCTTCTAACCAAACACTTAAAGGAAGTTTGTCTTCAGAATCAAAATCCTCTTGGTTTCCAGCAAAGCTAGCATGGCGGAAACGTGAATAATGTTCACAGTATCCAAAAGATTCACGTAAAAATTTTTTTCACCGCTATCAACATGCAAGATGATACCATTTTTGCAAGAAGAATGCACCTCAATAGTTGCACTTCAAAGTTTTAATTTTAGGTAGAATAAAATTTGACACAAATATTTGTGGCACAAAAGTTATTATATTAGTTTTGTTTTCAAGATTTAATGTATTAACGTCAAACCATCTTGTAGCATCAACTAAAGTTTTCTGAATTACTTACTTTTGAATTACCTTTCTGCTTAAATTTATGAACGTCTTATAAACACATAATGAATCGTCGTAGAAGACAATTTGTGTTAAGCACTGTTTATCAAAATCATCTTCAGCTATTTAGGAGAGCAGAGTTCCGGGAAAAATTATTCTGCTTGACAAAATTTCTTTATTATTAAACTTAGTTATCCAATTATACAGTTTTTTATTTCTTTAAATTGTTATAATGGGTTTTTTAAGACTTAAAAACTCGATTGAAGAATCAAAAACATTTTTGTTTCAATGGATCTAAGGCTAATAGTAAATAAGACTGGCTTGTTGGTTTCCATACAGTGATATGGCATATATATAGTGTCGCTAGGCGTAGAGAACCTGGAAGTGTGGACAGAAACGAGGCAGAACTCTGAAAAAAGTTATCAAACAGAACGAATATTACACAAGATGCTATTTTTTGGTGGAAATACCTGAAAGGACGTGAATTTGAAACCTATGTTTGTTTATAGCTTTGTTAATCTTAGAGGATTTAAAATTGAAAACTTAATAACGAGAGCTTTGGGATTTAGTGCCAATTTAATCAGAAAGTTTTACCTTCACAAACAATGATATGGTGAATCTGACCTTTCTTATTAAGAAATGATTAAAACTTGTTAAGTACTAACTCCATTCAAAAGATAATCAACTTTTCAATATTATGCAGATCTTTAAAGAATCTTAGTAAGCACATCACATTCACACATAGTAACCGGAAGTTTATATCTTAATTTGTCTTTTCAATGATCAATTTTTTTATTAATTATAATTACTTGCTAATGATAATTTTAAAATATTTTGTATTTCACACCTTGCTGGTTGACACTTAGGAATATGAGTCCACGTTCCATTGTTGCAAGTTACCGGAGATAAACTAGCCAAAAACTCATACTGATAATTACATTCCACAGCAAGAGCTTCCCCGTGAGTTACAACAGTTGAAGACATCGCGGTATCATTTTGTGCAACCAAAATAACTCTTCCTTGAGCTACTTGTGGAACAACACATGGAGCTAAAAAATTAAAAATGTTGAATAATACAAACGAATAGTTTTTTCTCTTGCAACATTCTAATTAGTACTATTTGAAGATTATTTAACTACATTAAAAAGCACCAAGTCGTTCTAATTATTACCTAAACATTTTGGAAGTGGATATCTCCATTTTCCATCGATTTGGCATACTGTTGAAGTGTTCCCTTCCAATGTCATACCATCATGACAACGAAAGATGATGGAGGCACCCAATCCTGTTCCTCCTTCAATGTTCTCCAACCATCCATTCCATAAACGTCCCGGATGTCCGCAGTTTATCTCTACTCATGCGCAAAGTAAATGTAACTTCGAAAGGAACTTAACAGGAACGAAAATGAATCAGTGTACTACTTCTATAGGGGATTAGTTATGAAGTTTACTTATTTAAAATATACAATACTAATAGACTTCCCCTTCTTCATTGTATCCTTCTTGTTTCGATTGGTAAATAAATTGAGCATAAAAATGAATGATAATAAAAAAGAAAAAAACAAAAAGATATTCTGATATATTGTATATTTTAAATCAGTGATTTATAGAATATAGTTAATGTAACTACCACTAAAGGATTTTATAAACTACAATTATTCGGGCTTTAACCTTTACAAGACGGTTGTTGTCCAGACCATTTCTTATCCGCACCGCACCTTCTGGTCGTTTCACCAATCAAGGTGTAACCGTATTTGCACTCGTAGCTAACAACAGAGTTATAGCTGCAAGATGTGTAGATTGCTTTTCCGTGACGAGGATTTTCAGGTGGTGGACACTGTACCGCTGTAACCACAACACACGGAAACGACCAACAAAACATACCCTTCACTTAATAAAAGATGTAAATACACATCGGTGTAATTAATTCAAAGAATAAAATTTATTTTAGATTTATTAAAAGGTGATTGCTTACGAACACAAGTAGGTAATTCTTTAGGCATCCAAGTTCCATCTGCTTGACAGAATCTTTCAGCTTTGCCAACAAGCTCGAAACCATCTGCACAATGATAGTTTATGCGACAACCGAAAGTGTAACATTCTCCAGCGTGCCAACCGTGTGAGATAACAGGTGGTGCACCGCATGAACGTGCTAAAAGATAATAATATTCAATAAACTCATAGAGATGCGAACATTTTTGTGATTGCTTATTTTTCTTTTTGCTACTTTTGATATATTGTGATTCAAGAGAAAGGGTGGATACAAAGCGAAAAAATCGGGTACAATAGCCTTATTGTGCGGTGTTGAAAAATTACTCACGTTCACAGGAAATGTCCGGACCGTACCAAGAGGCCTGTCCATCGATGGCTAGGCATTTCGCTCTTGGGAAGCCGTTGGTCACGTATCCTGTATGGCAATAATACTGGAGTGTCGAGTCCAGATCGAAGGTCGTTTGTTCCGGAAGGGCATTGTGCCTAGCGTGATCAATTGTTGGCGGTGACAAACAATATACTACGAAAATAAAATACAAAAAAATAAAGTGTTAAAATTGATTAAAAAGAAATTTATTAGTTGCAATTTCGAACGTAGCAATTTATCTTCCTTAAGACATTAAGTAATAGTTTTAATAGAACGTAGGAAACTTTGTTAAGTTTTATTTTAGTTATTTTTACTCCTTTTATTTATTTGTTCTTTTTATTTACTAGAAAACTCCATTTATTGAACACTACTTCTCTAAGAGGTTTACTCGTGATAAGGGTGTGAGTGAGTGGTGGAAGAGTATTTGAGAATAGGGCGTTAAGTAACCCATATGTAACCCGTATTCGTGAAAACCGCATTCGAGACTATAAATCTTCACTACGTTGTAAGTTTGGAAAAAGAATCGGAAATAAAGTAAAATAAAACCTTTTTTAAGGGATGATAGGGATGTAAAATATCGGTTAAAGATAAGAAGATTTTCAATACTATGAAAAATGTATGTAAAAGTTAAGGTATAACTTTAAACATAACTATATGTATATTATAAACTGGGTTTTATCGTAAAAGTAGTTACTTTTAGTACAGTTTTAATTATTGTTGATTATATCGAAAAAAATGTGTCAAAATAATTTTTGAGTATTTGGGTTAAAGAGTCATGTTTTGTCATGTTCTCATCCTTCCGATAACAATTTTTATTAATTTAAAGATGTAGTTTAGTATATTGAACAAGGAGAAATTGGAAAGAGCTGAAAAGGAGTATTTTGGAGTTCTTTTGGATGTTTCCATACATATCAATGACCTTGTATAACCTTGTGTAAACGAGGAGGTTGAAATGGATATGATAAAAAGTGATAAAAAAATGCCACTGATAAGTTTATTGTAACTCATAAAAATCAACCGGCAGCAATAAAGAAAATAATTAATTCTGGAAATACTTCCAACAACTCTGCCAAAAGAGTTAGCTAATAATTTCTTTTTAAATGTCTCCGGTGAAGTGGCAAAAAACATATGTGGTGGCGAGGATCCTTTGTCATTGTTAATCGAACATGTGGATTACTATACAAATATTTCTCATTTCATCCTTTCTCACAGGTTGAGGTATGGGATGCTGTTAACGGCCACGAGCCAAGCAAATCTGCTGACATCTTTGGAGTCAATGCAATCGTCATTAAAAAAATTAAAAAACTTTTTGATTCCTGTACTTACCACTCTGTTTAACCAATGTTTAACTACTGGCTGTTTTCCAGATGACTTTAAGGTGGCATATGTTTAGCCCCTGTTCAAAAAGGGCGATATTAATGATGTTTCCAACCATAGGCCAATTAGTATACTACTATTATCAAAAGTCTTTGAAACGTTATTAAAAAATCAATTAGTTAATTTTTTTGAAATTTATAATATTTTTAACATACAACAATTTGGTTTTAGAAAAGGGTCTTCGACCACCCTGGCCATTCAAAATTTTGTTGAATATGTGATCAGTGGTTTTGAGGCCTTTCAGTGCACTAAAGCTAGTTTTTTGAACCTTACCAAGGTTTTTGATTGTGTTTGTCACTCAGTTTTAATTTGCAAATTATATGCATACAATGTAGCTCCAGAAGCGTGTAAATTATTGTCATCTTATCTTATACACCGAAAACAATATGTGAAATTTAATTCTGCTATGTCTAATTCTGGAAGTATCACGAGTGGTGGTCCCCAGGGTTCAATTTTAGGCCCTATTCTATTTTTAATTTATATAAATGACTTATCTTCCTTTTTGGGGCCTGGACAATCTATTTTATATGCTGACGATACTAGTTTGTTAACTAGACACATTTCAGGAACAGAAGACACAACCTTACAAAATTTAATGTTTATATCGGCAAAGCATTAGTTTGCTAGTAATCGCATGACTTTGACTAGTGGGAAGACAGTGTCAAAGACTTTTACACATGGACAGAGTGGTAAGTCTTTAAATTCGGAAAAGGGAATCAGATTTCTTGGTGTCCGTGTGGATCCTGGATTTACATGGAACTCCCATGGGGAAGTTTTAGCTTCTCGTTTGAATTCACTGTCTATCTGTTGAGGCGTCTCTCGGAGTTTATTTTGTGCTTTTCCAAAGTCATATTAGCTACGGTATACTTGCGTGGGGCCATGCCCCGATGAGTAAAAGAATGTTTGGCATACAAAGAAGAGCCATTCGTAATATTGCTAAACTATTATACTAATTACAAAGATGATTGTCACCCTTCTTTCATTAATTTAAAGATATTAACGTTTCTATCATTGTATATTTTGGAATGCCTAAAATTCATATTATTAAATCACTGTCGGCATGAAAAGAATAATGATATTCACAAATGCGAAACCAGGGGGAGGAATAACGTTCGGCATGCTTCAATACGACTTCAAAAATCTAGAAACGCATACAACTACTATGGGGTGAAATGTTACAATGTTGTCAATAAAATTAAAAATATTTTGTTGGGGAAGGCCTATTACAATATTGATGAGTTTATAAGTAATGCGTCTATATTTTGAAATTATTCAACGACTATTCAACTTTATTGTGCTATTTTGTTGCATGTTTTTTTTATTCTCTTGTTCTTTTTTGTACTTACACATGCATATTATTGACGCGGGTTTTAACATGATAAATTATTATTTGGATTTCCACAGCAACGAAGATGCTTGTTGGTGGCAGAAATGTTGAATGTGTAACTGCTAAAGTGAACGTGTTGTCTTGGGTATTTGGTTTGTGTTGTAATTATAATTTTTCTAGGCATTGTTGAAGTTCAATCACTATTTCTATGCCTAACTCGGCTTGTAGGCCTTAATGCACTTTGTAGTGTTTGTACTAATATGATACGATACCATAAGTAACTACAACCAACAAAGTGATTTTTTAAGTTAGAATCTTTAGTACCTATAGATAGACACGATACAACAGAAAAATTAGCACAACTTTAGCAGGCTTTCGGAGAAAGTGTTTTTTCAAAGGCTTACCTTTTTTGGTAGTTCAAGACATTTTCAGAAGGAAGTGAAACTCCATTACAGATGAAAAACACACCAGAATGGCCTCTGTTGAGAGTCGGGATGATTTCATACATCACCTTTCCAAAATATTTTCACACAACCAAATGGAAATCATAATCACTTTCAGCTTATCTTTTTGTAATCACCTGCAGGCTATTATCATAACTGTTATTAAGATTTAAAGAATCATCTCCAACAGTGTTGTGATTGGCAAAGATTAGGAATAAGGTTTGTTGAAATAATAAATTAGACCAAGTATTTTCTGATGATATTATTAGTTATCTAATATCACCTTCACTTTTTCCAGCTGAAAATGTTTCTGAAATAAGATAATCTTTTTTTTTGATTCTCTTCGAAGGGACATAACTTTAGGAAGCAATAACAGCGATGATGAGACCAATAACATGGGGCAATAAAGAATTAGCAATCGTAGGTACAACGAAATAGCCTCCTATACACTAAATACGTCGAAAAAATACTGAAATACAAGGAAAACTGACAAATTAAGGGTTTTATTGGTGGAGCAAAAAAATAGAAGATGCAATAAAAGACAAGTGGGGAGAAAAATACAGAATATACTAGGCATCAACATCAAACGACCATAAACTATGATAGAAATAAAAATATATATGGTAAAAAATATTCTTCTTCAGGCACGCCGTCAATTAAAGAATCATTTTTACCGAAATATATATAGCACTAATCTCCTGAAATAAAGCAGCTTGTTGAAACAGCTATTGAACTTCCTTCGACATAGATAAGCCCAATTAATCGAGTACTCAGTATATCTGACCATATAATTAACTTTCATAGTTTTTGAGTACGATTTTCACATATCTATTATATCATTCCAATCCCATACATTATACCGATTTATATTCCGAGATGGAGATCGGTGGTAAACATATCTTATCCCATCAGACCCGTGAGGTTGAAGAGTGGCTTACATCATATACTTGTGTAATTCTACATGGGGATTCATATGGATCTTTAGTAAAGCATGGTATCTTCTCTAAAGTTTACTCCTATTGAAACGCTTAACGTTGAAGCTATAATCTACTTCGTCGTTATTGTCGACGAAGCAGATTAAACTGTCACCTTCGAACCATAAAACGTTTCAGGCTAAGGTCGCTAGGTTAGCAGTGTAGGTCACGGGTAGGTTCTGGAAAAACAGGCATACTCCCCCCTTGTCGCTGCGTTCAAGTTTCTCTCCCCTCGCCTACTTTCTGTTTTGAAATGTTCGGTTTTTCCAAGTACGACCGTTTTGAGTACTTTAGCACGTATCAAGTGATTATTCCTCCATATGGGAATGATATTTGGGAAAATAAAGAATTGTTTGTTGAGACCCTGCAATTGATAGAGGGTAGTTTGGTTGTTTATACTGATGCTTTCAAATCTGCAAGTGGTGGTGTTGGTTGTGCTTTATTTATACCTACTATTGATTACCATGTCAGTTTTAAACTTAATCCATCCACTAGTATTTTTGTGGCAGAAGTAACAGCAATTTTGGAGGCCTTGAAGTATATAGATAGAAATATACGCCCAAATACTAGCGTTAGTATATTCACCAATTCAAAAAGTGTCTTCTGGAAATATCAGCCTGTTATAGTGGAAATTTTGAACAATGTCACTAGGTTGAATGATCAAGGCCATGAGGTAAAACTTTTGTGGGTGAAGGCTCACGCTGGTTTTGTCCATAATGAGTGCGGTGATAAGCTAGCTAAGGCGGCCTTTCGGGACGGCAAGCTGGTTGAAAACGAACTTTCTTTTTCTGAGGTGCAAAAGAAGAGGTGCTGATCTGCAGGGAGAAACTTGTAAAGGAGAACTGGTGCAGACACTGGAATCAAATATATCAGCACAGGCAAACGCAGTACATTCGAGTTAATCCTCGTATACTTTATCATTAATGGTATAGTGAGCGTGATGCTTTTAGAAATTTCTTTTCAACTATTGTCAGGCTGAAGTCCGGCCATGGATATTACTGTGCTCATATAAATAAAATTAATATTTTACAGTCCCCCCAATAGCTCGTGTGGGTTTGAGACGGAGGATTTGAATGATATATTTTTCAACTGCGATAAATACGAATGATATCGACCGGAATTCATCAGTTCTTTGCTATCGCACGGTTTCTCCTTGCCACTTGATGTTATTACGATTTTAAGCAGAAATTGTTTTGAGATTTTTAAAATAATTTTTGTTTTCATGAGGAAGAATGCCATTATTATTTGATATCTTTTAGTTAAATTACTTCTTGTGAATCTTGATTAGTCGTTTTGCACTGTGGCTTATGGGATGGGATCCCGCAAAACCAATTAAAAAAAAATATATTCTCTACATTGTATCTAAAGGTTTGTTGTCATTCATAACAGTAGTTCGTCATCTTGGGTGTCGTTTTTTTATGTTTCCAGTTTCCTCATAACTAGGGCTCGGATTTTATACAGCCAAATTATAGAAAATATGCAAACTTTTATGCAAAAATCCAAAAAAATGCATAATATGCAATTTTTGCATAAAATCCCTGCTTTACTCATAACACTTTACAGTTTTTTGCTCCCTTGTTTTATGGATAGGAGAACGATTTGGATATGTATCCTGGAATAAGTTTGCTACTTCAATTTAATGCCATGTTCTATCGTCGTAGGTTATCATTAGAACAGCAATTCATTCTCACGTCAAACTACTGATAGTTTTACTTAATATCGTATTGATTTTAAAATTAAAACATGCTATAATTAATTCAATAATTATTTGAGACCTTTCTGTGAATATTAAAGCTCAAATATTAAATATAGTTAAATTTCTATTAAAGAGTAGATTCAAATAATGAAATAATATACAGCTTGTTTCATTTGAAAATCCAAAGTACATACAGTAAATCTGCCGAATTATGGCGAATGTCATGTCTGTAAATTCTAAATGTTATACGACTTTGACTTGTGCCACTCTCTATCTCTATATTATAACGGTTTCTTAATAGAATAGTAAAGCTCTAAATCAACAAGGCAAAAAGCCGTGTACCGACGCTACAGTAAGTTGTGTATACTAGCCCATATATGTGTGTATTGAGCACTGTGTATTCAATTTGTGGCACTTAGGTCCAAGCGGTCCCTTTATGCATACCATTAGGATATTTGTGGTGTTACGAGCAAACACGGTCAATACAGTACCCTCGCGACCTCTTGCAACCGTGTGTTATGCGTTCGTCAAACGGTTTTAGTTCGATGCCCATTCATACCTTTAACGATAACGAGAGATGTCCGATTACATACGACTTGCCCTCCATAGGGCAAGTAAGTCACGTATCCATACTACACGACTCAAACTCGCAAAATCTGTATGTTATCTCAAGAACTAACACGCCGAGCCATAATGACTTTGTTGGTTATCAAATGCTTAATATATAAACTTTTTGTTTGAGTGATTTGTAAGATAAAAATTAGAAATAACAGTAGACGTGAGAAGAAAACTGTAAACACTTGAGATGTATAATCCCTTCTATAGGCAACTCTATTAGCTAGAGTGATAATATAATTGCTTGCGTTTAAAAGATATCAATGAGATAAATATTGTACATTTAATAATAAATTACATTATTTAATTTTGATATTCTTAGTATATGCTTAATATACACTGTGTTAATTAATTATCGTACCCGACGTCATCATTGTAAATATGCAACCAAATACGCAAATTCCGTATTGCAATACCAATGCTGTGATATTGGTTGCGTACTTGCAATGATGACGTCGGGTACGATAATTAATTAACACACTGTAGATATTTTAATATTTCTCTTATAATTACGGTTAAAATTTGGAATACCGTCAGTAAAACCCTAAATTATAATCCGATCATCTTATTAATGTCTATATAAATATTAATTATCTCAAAAAATGAAATAAACTTACTGTTCTGTTTACACGCTGGTGCAGTTCCAGCCCATTGGCCATCTCCTTGACATGTTCGACTCTGCAAACCAACCACATGATACCCATGTTGACATGTATACGTTATTCTAGCACCAAAAAGACGACCACTTGCTGTTACACCACCAAACGAGATTTGTTCTGGTTCAGGACATTCACGATCTAAAATCAAGAAAGCAATTAAACTTATATTTTAAATGGTATTAAGTTTCTCTAAAATTATTCAAAATTCATAACACTTTACATATATTCCAAAGTAATTAAAATTATACGTCAGGAAATGAATGCAGGCATTATGAGAAACTGGGTCCTGAATATAAAGTAGATGGGTAAAGCTTTAGAAGGGATGGGTCGGAGGAAGGAAAGAGATGAGTAGAGTTATGAACCTCGCTTCCAGACACTTGTGCATTACCATTTCAAACGTTATTAAAGGTTAAGGGATTAAACTGTATTTGCACTATTTAGTTTTAAAGGGTGCCACAAAGGGGCACAAATTAAATTTCCTAGAGCATTAAAACTAGTAATTTTTTAATTACCTGGTTTTATACAACTCATTCCGCAAGCACCGTCACAAAGGCATTTCTTTTTCTTGCTTTTACAGTCTTCGTCCGAAGAACATTTCCGTAAACATTTTTGTCCCTTTAAAAAAATTAATTAAATCACAAATTTAAAACGTTTTATAACTCTCTAAACACGGAATGTAAATGTAGTACCAATAAAGTAGCTTGTTCTTCGTCTCTAGGACAAAGTGTTGACGGTGAATTTCTAGGATTTTTATATTGTTTTCCTGTCGAAGTTTCTGAAGATTCAGCTTCATCTTCCCAATCTTCATCATCATCTTCGTCTGAAGTGTTTGAAGGCGTTGCCGTTGTAGTATCAACAGCGAATGCTAAAAATATTTATTTTAATATTATCTATTTAAAAAACAATAAAAATTATTGCATATTCTTTAGGTGTTATATGAAATAGATGCCAGACGCAGGTGACATGGTGTTATATATTAAGAACAACCAATAAATACAAAACCGCGGCGGGCTAATAGTGGCGAACAGTTTATAAATACATCGAATGAATTTTGGAATTTGTAGCGTTTTCGCTGAAAACAAGAAATTCCAATTAGGTCAAATAACAAAACGAACTCACGTCCCGTCCATTTGTTTTCCAAATGAAAAACAAACTTAAAATAGATTTAAAAATTTACACTGTTTTTGACTAACACACCTCAAAATAATTCAATGCTGTATCTTGTATGTAGACAGAATTTGCGTCTACATTAGAGGCATCATTATTTTCCAAGAAAATATTGGATAAAAAAAGAATAAATAGTTTTTTTTTTCGGTGATCATTTGAAATTTTAATTTCGAACGTTGAAAAATACCCTTTCTTGATTTTTCTTTAATAAAAAAGAGGAGAAATTTGCATGAAAATATAAATTGTAAAAACCCAGTCAAGTATAGCAAGTATGCCAGATATGGTCTATTTATTTCGTATATAAAATGCAGGCGGACAAGTTGAACTTTTTGAATAGCTTTGAAAAAATAAAACTGAGGAGACAAATAACTTATTTTTTTTAATGTGATTTAATAATACCTACATCTCTAATGGAGAGTAAGCACATTGAAGATGAATGCCAAATGAATCGTAAGACTCATTTGTGAGCAGAGCAGAGAAAGTCCAGAAAAGTCCAGAAATGTTGCCAAGAACGCATGTAAGACGGCATAGCTTAGAAACTTGTCTAAGTCCAACGCTTTCAGGGAGATCTAAGCCAAGTAGAAGATGGTCAACAGGAAAAAGATAAAAAGTGGTAATGTAACGGAAATGGTGAGCATTTCAAGTACAATTGAAAGGAGTTTGACATATAATTGATACTTGAGGAGACAATAAGTTCATTGTTGCGGTTGATTTTTATGCCAAATCTGACATGCGGAGTTCTAAAAGTGAAGATAAGAGAGGAACGATATTCAATGAGTGGATGCGAGATAAAATTAAATACGGGAATTTCGCTACCAACATAAAGAAGGGGTACACTGCAATGCCATATAAACATCACCATATTCAGTGAAAAGATAATAGGAAAAATAAGAGAAAGAAAAATTGAAGAAGAGGGGAAGTAAAGTGACGAAACCCACCTACACTAGAATTTCTGACAGCTTAGACTTCAACGACTTGCGATGAAGCGTATGAAAAGAAAAAGAAACTAAAACTAAGACGGGGCGACCTATGCTATTGACGTGAAAGAGTAAAGAAACTATAAGACTAATGTAGGCTATCATGTCAGGAAGCAAGAAAAATAGACAAATAAAAAGTCACCACAGTGATCTTTCAGAGCTGTGTGAGGCTTCTCGAAGACCATCTTGAAGACCAGGCTAGAAGAAGACCTATTTACTACTACGGATTTGGAAAGACATCCAAAAAATGAGCTTCACTTGAAGACAGGAATTTCAATTAATGCAATCGAAGAAGGAACGACATGACAAATACAGAAATGTCTACAAAAGAGAAATCTGAGCTACTCTTTACATGTAAAAATCGAGTTCGTATCATCGCCATCAAAGGATTATTGAAAACCTGCAAAGTAAAATAATTTCAGACTTCATCATTATCAAAATCTACCTGAATGCAAAATATAAATAACATTAAGCAAGGGGTCCCGCAGGAATCAAACTTGGCTCTTGTCCTGTATATATCTCCTTCGACTATTTACTGCATCAAAATTAGAAAAGAGAGGAAAAAAATAAACTGAGCATTCCATTGTAGACGACTAGATATTGCCACGAAGTAGGCTGTAATATCTAGGCGGGATGATGTGCAAAAGTTTGAAGACGTGAGAACCACTTAACACAAGGAATCATTGACGCACTACTCAGAAGATTCGGATCCGCCAACGAGTTTAGAAAGATAAAGGGAAGGCTTTGTACAAGGCTATTACAGAGACGAAGTATACACAAGTATAAAGAAGAGTAGCTAAGAAGAAAAAAATTGTAGCATAAAATGAATTCTTGGGCGTTTTTCGAATGATGTAATTTAATATAAGGACCATAAAGATATAATGAGGACCATAAAGCCCCACTGCACTCACAAAATGCAACCATTAGATGTTTCATATTTTATATCATTGCTTACTATGACATCTACATAACTAGGTGGTCGAAGAATCAATGTATTCCGGACAATATAATATCGCAGGAGCTGTAGTGGATACTTTTTGGAAAATGTCAAGCATTGAAACAGTCATAAAAAGATTCCAAAAAAATCAGGGATTTTTTATTTAACGGCTCTATGTATTAAGAAGAACGGCACTGAATAATGTCTACAATCTTCCACATTTTAAGTGGATCCATATAAAAGTCCTTCTACTTCGACATCTTTGAAACAGAACGTTTTTCCATCAACATGTAATTCGGTTGAGAGGGATTCTAAAGATGATCGTCGCTTATCAATCTTTGTAACTAACACCATTGCTAAAAACTCTCCTAATAAGCCTTTGTCTTCGAGTGTAAAAATAGTTGATGTTAGTCCTCTAAAAAAATATACAATCCTGATGAATTCGGCGTATAAGAAACACTTGACGATAACGAAAAAGAGACCAAAATAAAAGTGGTGGAAAATAATGGATGAAATAGAAAACAAACTTTGACTACCGGTCAGAACAAGATGAAGACTGTCAATAATCGTACTGTAGATCATAAAAAATGCATTATACGTATGCAAAAATTCTCGGAAAGCGAAGAGAACTAGTATAAATGTCAGGGATGTGCAGAATGGGTTCACGACTCCTGCGGGATCCTAGATGTCCTGTTTTAGCATACTTTATAAACCCAACTTAAGAACGCGGTGTTGAGATGGAACAGTTGAAGTTTTATTTTACATTAAAAAATTATGTTTTAGTATTCTGTTACAATTTGATTTTATACCGAAAAAGGATTACTTCAGATTATAAGTTTATTTTGTTGCCTATAATATTTTAGCTAAAAAAAAATGAAGCTTATATAAATCTTATGTGGCTCTCCCCTAACTGTTGCATCACAACAACACACTTTGTCACAGCCTCGTTATTCTCCTGCCATGAATTTTTGTGACTTTTTCTCTTCCCAAGATTGAAAAATCACTTTAAGGGATCTCATTTTGAAACAACCAAAAACATTATAATAATGGTAACAAGGCTATAAATATTGGACGAATCGTCGCAAACGTTGTTAAGCTTCTTAAGGTTATTTAGAGAGATCAAATTGTGCGATAGAGCATTTCAATTGCAATTGGAAGGAGTTTGACATAAAATTGATACTTGCGGAGACGATAACTTCATTGTTGCGGTAGATGTTTGTGCCAAATCTCACCTGCGGAGTTCTAAACGTTAAGATAAGAGAAAAACGATATTCCATGAGTGGATGCGAAATAAAATTAAATACGGGAATTTCGCTACCAACATGAAGAAGGAGTATACTGGAATGCCGTATACAGTGTGTTAATTAATTATCGTAACCGACGTCATTATTGCAAGTATGCAACCAATATCACAGTACAGGTATTGCAATACGCGATTTACGTATGATGCGTATTGCACTGTAATATTGGTTGCATACTTGCAATGATGACGTCGGGTACGATAAATAAATTAACACACTGTACACATCACCATATCGAGTAAAAAGATAATAGGAAAAATTAGGGAAAGAAAAATTGAAGAAGAGGGAAAGTAAAGTGACGAAACCCACCTATAAATATTGGAAGAATTATCCCCAACGTTGTTAAGCTTCTGCATATAATAAAACAGTTAAATAAAATGTGTGTAGGTACACGTGAAACACGTACTAGAACAATTAAAAAGTCATCTATATATATTTAGAGACACATATTAGATATAGCGTAACACAGTGGTAAAACATGTAATTAAGTTTGAATTTATTTTGCATTAAATATGGTAAAGTTGTATATAAGTTGACAGAAATTGGAATTATCTCAAACCACATCAGTCATAAGATGAATAAATCGAAATATTAAACATTAACCCATTCTTCAACAACATCCTCAAAACATCGTCACTCCTCCCAATATTGGTTACACATATAGTTAATGTTCCTGGTGAAATAATTTGTGAAGATAAAAAAGAATTATTGATGGATCGGTTATCCACCCAGGAATCAAAACGGACAATGTGAACTCGAAGTTACAAACTATAATAAAAATCGATACATTTCTATCGAAAATAGCAAGGTTGTTCGATGTTAAACCTGGTGGCCTGATAAGGTAATGGTTTTGTTTGCGCGGACGTTATTTAATTTTATTAGTTTCAGCCGTGGGACGTGTCTGAGTGGCCGATACACCGTGTGCCACACACGTACACACACTCACACACTCCACAATTCTCGTGTGCGTATCGCATAACGTCACGTGTCTGTGTTATAGTATGGCACAAGCCCGACCGTGTTCATCGGCTTGTACTGTTTGTTATTTCAGTGACGTTCGAAAATCGGCGGACCAATTCAAACAACGTCATTTCGCAATAATATTTACCTAAATGAACTTACAAGTCCTTTCAGTTTCATTAAACAATTTTAGATCGACAATCAATTTCTCTTTTCATATTCAAATGTTTTAAGTATTTTGTTGTTAAAATAACTAAGGTAAAATACATTTTAAACATTGCTAATTAGAGGACTTTAATCTAAGTTCAGAACAAGTAAGTATAGATTTTTATTTTGTTAGTTTTCCGACAACTGTTTCACAAAAAATTATGTCAGGCGCTAGTCACAGAACAAATTATGGACTAATTATAATGAAATAACATTGTATAAAGAAACAACAACTTTAATTGACAATAAACAACATATAATAAAGGAAGAAACAACTCAAAATTCACAATAATTGTGATGATATAAATATGGACAG